TAATGTTGCTTTCATTACTGCTTTATTCCTCACAGAGCCCTGTTCCTTCTGTGGCTTTGCTGGAGCTCAGAGTTAATTTTCCTCCTTTCCTGCTTGTCAATGTGGCTCTTCCTCCGGAGCCATCTTCCAAGTCAAAATATCAAAAGTTGACACTTTGATTATTCTTTTCAGGGGGTGTTGATAATTGCCAGGTAAAGAAAGCAACTGTCTCCCACCATCCATCATAAACATGGGGAGGCTTTTCTGGTGAATCACATTATATGAAATGATCAGCGTCTGGGGGCCACAACAAACAGTCTGAAAACCTTTCCAGAGGAGACCGAGACAGGCCAATTTCACAAGTGGCTTTTTATTGGTTGATTGCACAGAGGCCAAGTTGTTATATAAAATCCTCTATTTTACTTAGTTAAAATAACAAACACCTTCTGAGCGTCCAGGATGTTCAGACATACTCCTCAGATGGAATCCAAAGCAACCAACAGTTTGCCAGGCTGAAGATACTAAGTGGAAACGGAATGTGGTGCATACACAGTCCACCAGTCAAATGCAGTATATAAACCATATCAGACCAACTTTGTTTTTGTTTTCCCTTGAGCTGGCAACTTGTACAGTCTATTATCCTTTAAAGGATGAACATTTTTCTTGCTCCTGTAGCTTGCATTCAAATAAATCCAAAATGCATGTTTTTAAAAAAGTATTTAAATAGTACAAATAACTTAAATGCAGTTAAACTTTTGAAATACACTCACTATGTTGGCATCAGACCTTACTAAGTCAGACTTTAAGCCCTCTAGTGCCAAGATCATGTTGCTATCTAACAAGCTGTAGAGCGATGTGGCTAATTAGTTGGTAAATAATTTAAAATCAAACATGGATAGTGGGTGTCCACTCTGCTGAGCAGGGGGAGAGACACTGATGAGCAAACTGACCCATGATTGCCTGACTACAGTTGTACCAATTAAAAAAAAATTGCCATGTTTGTGGCAGCTGCATCTCAGAAGAGCGAACAGTAAAGAGGCACGTTCAGGACCGTGGTTGTATATGCCATATTTAAAAATCACCTTACCTTCAGTTGCATTATCTTTATTTTGCATGGATGAATGCACACATACTCTTAAAATGGGGTATGGAGAGAAACAAATTCATATAACGGTCAAGCTTTCATTCTGACCTGACTTCATACTCTGAATTAAATAAGCTGAATGTCCTGACGGCAGGACCTTTCAGCATAAGGTCATTTCTTGTGAATGGTATTTTCACAACATTATGATACAAAATGACTGTAAAGCTGTAAATAACCAACAAACTTATCACACTAAATATGAATTTCTTTATTTTTAGTGTAGAAGTAAAATAACAAAATTAAAGGATTTTAAATGCTCATTGCCTTTGTCATCACATGGCCTTTACAACTGCTTTTTTACTTTATTATTTCCTTTCTGCATTTATTGTACACGTGTATTTGCAGTGAAACATGGTGGGTTTAAGTAGCTGTAAGTATAGAAGAAAATGAAATGTTATTGTCCGCCTTTTTAGGTTTCGGATCCATTTATTGATCACATGTTATCACCTTCATGTGTGTATTTTAGAGCTCACTTAGTCCACTGTGGAATCTTCAACTAACCAGAAAAGTAACAATGATAAGCTATCGGCACCAGTTTGACGCAAAGTAGAAACTGAAAAAACTGTGATAAAAGATGATAAAATACTACATATGGATTGGCAAGGTTCACAGAGAGCGGGTAAAGAGTCATAGTGTCTGAAAGTCTGTGCTGACTCAGGAAGCGCTTGGTGAATGATTGCAATCTGCTGTATACAGTAACACCACTCTCAACTCCAGATTTCTCCCTGATTAAAAACCTCTTGTAGCATCCGTTCGCCTAGACGCCAAGTCAAGGGCACAGAGGTCAAAGCTACACAAAGCTATTTTAGTCTCACAACAAATGTAGTAATTTTGCTTGTATTTAGTGCCGTAACTGCATGTGTCATAGGGACACTGAGGATAAAGAATTAAGCTGTTCCGTATACAGGGAAATCATTTCAGAGAACTAAGGAGAGCGTGCACATGCAAGATGTTTCTCGCCACTGTGGTGATGTCAACCTTACTCATTGTCTTACTGGTAAACCCTGGGCTGTGTTGAAAAGTAAGGGCTGGCATCATGGGGGGAAGACCCATGAATTTTCAGCAATTCATATGGAAATTAGTTTGTGATAAGAATAGGAGACTGTACACGTATTAAAAATGGCATGTTCTCATACATTTGTCATAGTGGAGCAGTAAATCATAACTTAATAGTCAGGAAAGGTTATATACACTGTAAGTTTGAGGTTCAGATTGGGCCCCTTGTGTACATACCCTGTCCTTGGAATGATGGCATTGCACACCCGACCTCAGCGCCCCTGTGAAATGTCTGTTTGGTGATTTATGCTGAGTAAGATACCATTAGCTTTTATCATCCCCCTCATGATCCAACCCTGTACTAATATGGGTCAGGGGTCACATTATAGAAACGCCTTCACTGTGCAGTCTTATCTTCCTGTGCATTGCAGGGTTTCTGCCACCATAGGACTGTTGCTGTGTGTCACCGGAATTTTCCTGAATCCTGAGATAAAATGTAAATGTTGAGCAGAAACTGTAAAATATCAGTTTTACTCTCAGATACCCTCATATTAAATCCTAATAGACATCATAATCCAGAGGCCACTGTTGACAAAAACATTCTTTCATTTCACTCTGTAGCTATTTTTCTAGAGAGCAACAGTAGTGAAATTAGACATTTTTCATTTTATGTTGTGGCTGCAATGTATGTATATGTACTGAGACAGGGATGGGGGAAGTGTCAGTACAGTCATCTAAAATACTTACTTATAAAAAAAAATCCACAGATGTAAATGTACAAAAACATTATCATATATGTACTTATGGTATCAAAAGTAAAAATGCTCACCTTTCACAAAATGGCCCCAAGGGATGATACAGACAGGTGACAAATTAAAAGAAAACCTTGAATAAACAATGACAGTGCCTCCATCCATAGGGCATAAGGGGTCACTGAATGGTTTGATGAGTATGAAAATCCTGTGAATCATATGCTATGGCCTTCAAAGTCAGCAGATCTCCACCCATTTGAGCAGCTATGTGAGATGTTGGACCAACATGTTAGACAGCGTCTCTACCGCCATCATCGAAACACCAAATGAGGGAATATCTTTTGGAAGAACTCAAAAAATTAATGACATTTAAGGTGTTTAGAATAATCTTTGGTGGGAACCACTGGTTTAACAGTTCTCTGTTATTCTATAGGTTTATAAAATATGTAACTAAAACTTTAGAAAAAATATAAAGGAGTAGAAATATAAAGTAACAAAGTAGACAAACAGTAGAAATGGAGCTACCTCAAACTTGTACTTGAATACAGTACTTCAGTAAAATTACTTGGTACAGATGTGTAAAGTAATTGAGTTCTGATTTTGAACCTGCAGAAACATGGTGGCTCATGAAAAATCTTCTGTACTAGGATGTGTGTGCTTCTCACAGTCTCATTGGCCATGTGGATCTACTTTTTGATTTAACACTGCCTTATTGACTTACTTTATTGACTGTGGTACTGAATACTGGGAGTGGGTATTGTTTACATTTATTCAGTTAGGTTTCCAATTCAGTTTTTTTCTGTATCAGATACAATATAATGCAGTACATGACATAGGACACAAAGTCTGTTTGGGTTAATAGGACTGTATAGGAACTACATTGAATAAAAGAGCTTAAAAATCACTGAAATTATTAATAAAATCAGGCAAAAGAGCCATATTATTAGACTGATCATTAAACTGAACAAACTAACTGTCATCTTTAAATATGCTGGACAAGCCCTGCTGAATATAAAGTAGGACCCTTGTGAAAACATAAAGAGAAAACAAAATCCAGTAATGTGCCCATTTTTTCCATATTACTTACAATTTACAAGGCAATTAACCAGGTATGATGATGCACTAGCACAGATGTTCTAAGTCAGACTCAGAGAATTATCATTTTCGCACAAATGTTGAGCATAACTCTCAAAGGTATGACTTTTAATGGAGGCAGTAGGAATTTAAGTTTACATTCCAAAACGTATTAGAAAGCTGCTGAACACTTCAACCTACTGGTTTGGTAATGTTTTACATGTCAGCAGCAATAGAGAGCCAGCCATATGGTGCTCACTAACTATAACAATAAAACTGGAGGAAAGGGAAGGTGAAAACACAAAAACAGGAAAATCAATGAAAATCTGTAAATGATCCACATAAATGTAAAAAACATATAGAAATATTTACACATTTTTAAAAATGTATAAATTATGGGCCAGTGACACAGAAAATACAGGATAAAATCAATGCATTAGCATCTAGATACTAGGGACAGAAAGACAAACAAATGGAAATATCCAATAAGTGAATTAAGCCGCTGCCTCTGGCTGCTTGGTTGGTCTGACATCAGTGGGGTGCTTTTATTTTGATAGAACACATCGTTTGAAATTTTGAGCTGTAAATGTATGAAAATAAATATGTTGACCTGTTTGTGAGTTCTTAAACTGTAGCATTCTGAGTTGACAAATAACCATTTGCTTGGCAAGGTTTTTTTGGCCACTTGAGCTGATTTGTCATGCTTACATAAGTCTCTTTAGATGGGCATACCATCCTATTATCTTTGCACCATAATCTGTTAATATACTAACAGCCTCAAGATAAATTCAAATTATCCTTCTCATCATTTAAATTTAGCACAGCCCATGATGCAACAAACAAGAGCACTCAGAGCACATGTACCTCTGCCAAGGCACAGCATTCGCTCACGCAAATGGGCGGTAGAAAAAGAAAGCGTTAAAGAACTGATTTAATTCAATTCCATCCATCCAAAATTTGGATAATATTAACTAGCGCTACATGAACACAGCTACGAGGTCCATCTGCAGTGCCTAACTAACCTCTTTCTGTCTTTGTTCTTTCATGTCTTGCAGAACCGTGACAGAATGGTCGACTGTATGAGCAAAGTCATGCTGCACACGGTCGTCTCATGCTGGCAGCCATTCCTAGGACTGGCCCTTGTGGCTGTCTTTGTAAGTTCCACCCTAGGATGTCCCTCGCGTTGCGAGTGTTCGGCGCAGAGCAAGGCAGTTGTCTGTCACCGCAAGCGCATGCTCAGCATCCCAGAGGGCATCCCAACAGAGACCAGGATCCTGGACCTGAGTAAGAACAAGCTGACAATGATCAACCCTGATGATTTTGTTGCTTTTCCTGGGCTTGAGGAACTTGACTTAAGTGGAAATATTATCAGTTATGTTGAGCCTGGAGCTTTCAATGCCCTGTTCAACATGCACTCACTCAGTCTCAAGAGTAATCGAATCAAGCTCATTCCTCTGGGTGTCTTCACAGGCTTAACAAATCTTACCCGACTGGATATAAGTGACAACAAAATTGTCATTCTCCTGGATTATATGTTTCAGGACTTGCACAATCTAAAGTTTTTGGAAGTGGGTGACAATGATCTGGTTTACATTTCTCACCGTGCATTCAGTGGACTTTTAAGCTTGGAGATACTAACCTTAGAAAGGTGTAATCTTACAGTTGTGCCCACTGAGGCCCTTTCCCACCTGCATAACCTAGTCAGCCTCCATCTACGATACCTCAGCATCAGCACTTTGCATCCCTACTCATTCAAAAAGCTGTTCCGTCTGCGGCATTTAGAAATTGATAATTGGTCTTCACTAGACCATGTGCCAGCCAATACCCTACATGGTCTCAACCTGACGACGCTGTTTATAACCAACACCAACTTGTCCTCCTTCCCTTACCAAGCCCTGAAGCATCTGCCCTACCTGACACACCTTAACCTGTCCTACAACCGCATCAGGCACATTGAAGGGGCAATGCTAATGGAGCTTGTAAGGCTGCGAGAACTCCATCTGGTTGGAGCTCAGTTAACCACAATTGAACCATATGCTTTCCAGGGCCTGAGGGGGCTTAAAGTCCTAAATGTCTCTCACAATCGACTGGATACGCTGGAGAAGGGTGTTTTTCAGTCTCCTGAGGCTCTGGAAGTTCTTCTTATTGACAACAATCCCTTAGTGTGTGACTGTCGTCTCATGTGGATCTTACAGAAAAGGCATTCCATCTTCTTTGGGGATTTGCAGCCAGAATGCAGCACACCAGAAGGTATCCGAGGCAGACCTTTCAAGGAGTTTAAGGAGACTCTTCTGTCCTATTATGTGACATGCACCAAGCCAAAAATTCGTGAGAACAAAACACAGACGATCACTGTGGATGAGGGCCAGCAGGCAATGTTGCGCTGCAGTGCTGAGGGGACACCAAGACCAATTGTGTCCTGGTTGTCCCCACGCCGACGAGTTCTGACAAGCAGGAGCCATGGTAGAGTGACCGTCCACAACAATGGCACACTGGAGATCAAGTCTGCAGAGGTACAAGACAGTGGAGTGTACCTTTGTCTTGCCTCCAACACTGCTGGGAATGACACCCTTATGACTTCACTGGCGGTGAAAAGTCTGGGGTCGCTGTACGCTAACAGGACCCAGTACTATACAGATCCCAGCAATACTACTGCCAATGGGACAACCAGTGTTACCCTCGGTTTGGACCTAAAGACTATTTTAGTGTCAACAGCTATGGGTTGTTTTACATTCCTGGGAGTGGTCTTGTTTTGTTTCCTGCTCCTTTTTGTTTGGAGCAGAGGAAAAGGAAAACATAAAAACAACATAGATGTTGAATACGTGCCTCGGTCAAAGTCTAATGGCACTAACGTTGACTCAGCAGAGGGACAAGCAGGTTCTCGTCGTTTTAACATGAAAATGATGTGACTTCTTTTACAGATCACAAATTCTGGATTATGGAAATGCCCAAAGTACATTGTATTTTTTTGCAAACAGGACTACTGAACTTTCCACTGTTACAGGGAGAGTGAGAGTGAAAATTCCCGGGCATCATAACAAGTTGAGCTGTACCTTACTATAACTGGATCTTGACAAAATGTTTGGATTGTGTTTCAAATACTGAAAAGCATAGTGGGACATCCTCTTACGTATTTGCCAGGCTGGCAACTTCTTCAGCACGGATGAGGAGTGAAAACTATTGCCGCCAAGGGGACCTGAAGGGAATAGGTGTCATTTATGAGCTTTTTGAAATTTATATGCCCAAAAAGAACCCTAAGTTTGGGGTTGGATCTACAAACTTCGCTAAACCATGTACAGTACAAATTTGTATCTAAGCTATTAACCCTAATTGTTTAGTCTTGCTCCATGCTTATTCACTGAACAAATCAACGAACCAGACCATAATTTCCTATGTTCAGCACTTTGAATATGTGTACCTAATGCTTCAATATGTACATGTATGTACATATTCATTCAAACAAACTATTCATAGCAATATTCATGGGATGCATTAGCCAAAATTGATATAACCCATATGTTTTTTGAAGTTTCCATGAATTCAGGAAGGGCTGCTGTGGGTGATTATCTGTCCCTGTCCCCCAATTGACTCCTAAATATTAGTAAATATATATATTATTTATCATTGAAAATAGAAGACAAAACATTTTATTTATAAAAAATGTTGAGCATTTTACAAAAATCAGTCCTCAAATGCTGTTCAGGATATAACATGACACTTGGGTCATCATAAACATGACTTGGTATCGATCAAAATTTCACATGACCCACCTTTTTGTCCCATTTTTGTCTATTTTTATTCCTTTAACTGTATCTTTGCTGGTTGGCAAACTACTACTCAATTTTACTACAGTGACATTTGCATCATTTTTCCGCCATAGAAAATTTGGACTTTGTTGTTGTAGTTCCTCATTTTGTTGTTGAATCATTTAGATTGTGAAAATTTCAAAAGTAAAAGTAAAAAAATGTATGTGAAATAAAAGAAGATGTATTTGTACCAGTGAGTATGACTAAATGGCTAATACATAATGAAATTTTCTTTTCTTCAGCCTCACTGATGGACATCGCAGTCTTCATATGATCATCACAACAGTGAAACAAGGATTTTGCACATTATATTTATAGAAACATCCACATGCAAATGACATATCCACCATTTGGTAAGAAATTAAAGTCCTTAAAAATATGCGCATATTTGCAAATAATATACAGGACACTATAGTGGTACAGTGATGCACAGGTTGATACTCCACTGTAAACTCCCATTAACTTTTGAAACAATAATCATTCAGAAAGCTATGTCTATATTGCTCAGTGTAATTTGGATAACTCCATCACTTATGTTTTATGAGACAGATTTTTGGTATAAATAATACAATTAGCAAGTATTTACATTTGTACTGGGTAAATTGTAAAAATCACAGCTGAATTACAGGCATTCGTGCTGTTACACTTTACTTTATTTGCCATGAATATATGAGGCCATGGTCTCATATGTAACAACCCCAATAAAACAACATATTTACAGTATAAATGTGTATCATGGAAATTCTGCTACAGTTTCTTAGAGGAAAAAAACGTCCCATAAAAGGGAATGGACAGTATTATCACAGAAATAGTTTCAATGTAAGTTTTGCCAATTAGTGATAATGACCTCATACAAAACTTCCACAGTGGATACATTAATATAAATCTGTATTATTTTCATATACTGATATTTGTTGGTCAGTGGCTACCATCGTCTTTTAATTTATTATAATGAGTTATATTATTTCTAAAACTGCCTTGAAAGTTGACTGTAAATATATTTTTTTCTTATTTTTAGGCTGATTAGTAGACATCAAGTCCACCTTATTACTTCTTTCTCCTTATCACTTCGGGGTGACTGTGGTTCAGTGGGTGGAGTGGTGATCTTCCAACCGGAGGGTTGGAGGGTCGAATCAAGGTGCCTGCGGTCCACATGTTAAAGTGTCCTTGGGCAAGACACTGAACCCCCAAGTTGGGGTTGGTTATCCATCAGTGTGAGTTGGTGCTGCAGATGGCTGCCTCGGTTCTGTACAGGAAGCAAATTTCTTGTGTGTAACATACTTGGCCAAATAAAGGTGATTATTGACTATGATCTCTTATTAGCTGACTTGTAGTGGGCAGGGCTTATCGACTGACTTAGGAACCCTGGCCTGTAGAGTGCTCAAATTTTAACAAGACCGACATTGTTTAGACTGGTGCCTCTGCTTGAACTACCTGCAGATGCTGAGACTGAAACCAACAATAATTAGCCTCACAGTTAATGTCTGTGAGGATGTCAGTCCTGGATTAGTTTATTAATGTGAGCCATAGACCACTGTTGTTCAAAAACAATTATAACATGTTAGCGAAACACACCACTGCTCTGGTTGTCATGTTTCCTCATTACGAAACACGAGACCCTGATATTTTTTTAAAATGTTGGCGCAAAGGCTTCATACAGCCATAACGTTTTGTAGCCTCTGAAGTAAGCAAGAGGCAAGGAACCATGCACATGATCTCTGGATATTCTTAACAAATATTAGGATTTTGTGTTTCATAATAAGGAAATATGTCACTAAGTTGCAGCGGAGTGTTTCCCTGATGTGTTTTTAATTGTTTTTGAACATTGATGGAGGTCTATGGCACAGACGATTAAGCTAATTCAGAACTGACAAACTGACAGATCTTAACCATGAGTAGGTACAAATCATTGCTGGTTTTAGTCTCCGTATGGCGAGTGTCGAAAATACCTTAAAGATACAGCTGGTATATTTGTGTTAGACTTCCCTTGAAAAAGAATTTAGGTGATACAATGCAATAATCTCATTTTAGTGTGTAGTCATCTTTTTTCTGTTTTTTAAAACAGACTAGGTTCTAATCACATCCTTTACAAGTGGAATTATAAGACATCTACAGTGTGTTTTCTACAAGAAATCTTTAGTGTATACAAAAAAAAAATACATGTTTGTTGAAACTGAACTCCAAAAGGAAATATTTAGCAGGGATCTAGGAGAGATATGGAATAACAGGATCCCTAAACCTAGGCTTTCATTGCCTGCCTACTAAACTGTAACATATTTTAAACTATAGTTTATAAACAGCTCTGCTAATGAATGTGTTATGATCTAAAGACGTGGTGTTAACGCATACATTAAGAAATACTTGTTAAAAGGACTGTAGTGATGATACACAGTAATTGCTTACTGCTGACATTACAAACTGAATCTTGTATAACACAGCAGAAATGACTGGTATCTTCTTTTTCACATTTTTTTCTATTTTTCCAAAACACATCTCTTGTGTCGTCTCTCACTGGTGCAGGCTCATTAGGAGCCACAGAGTATCTGTGGCTCCTAATGGTTTCCAGGAGAATCTTGGCTATTGAGCCTGAAGTCCCCTGGGCTGCTTGGGAAATCAGAGCACCGAATGCTACAGCTCCTCCAAAAATACAAAAGAAACAAGGTTATCTTTGTAGGTCAGTGATGTCCACATCCAGAGCATTCATTTGGTTAAATTACATGAAGAATGTTTTCCCTCACTGAACGTGTAGCACGATTTTGCATTCCTGTACAAATGAGGCCTCTAAAATAGGACTTGCTTTCTTTCTTTAATGAGGTCTTCGGTTAGTAGACTTGCATTCATATACAGTATATAGGGTGCATACTGTGGTGTTTGAGAATGTTCAGACCCCTTCACTTTTTGCACTAGAGCATCTTTCATGGAAGTGTTTTATGGACTGACATGCCCCTTTATTGGAAATCAATTGGTGATTGACACTTCAGATGAAGGATCGGACAAAAAGACATCTCATGACTGTTCAATCATTTTTCCTTGATTCCTCTCTTCTCACAATTTTTGCTTGCATCTTTTCCTCGCAAGGGACCTCCGGAGCCTTAACCCTACTCAGAGAACATGATAACAAGCCACTGAATGCTGTGATAACATCTAGGGTGATACCATATTGTGCTCTAAATTGGATTGTGTTTGGATGACGCCAAAACAGTTGCGTAGTTTCAGCTACTGCCATGTATGACTGCACACTGTGTTTGTGACGTTCTTAGTTCTTGGCCATGGACATCATTCCCCTCTCTCTATCGCTCTGTGACTGATTTTTAAAGGCAAATGCCCCTAAAAGTAATAGAATTGTCATATTTGTCCATCAAGCTACACAATATAGCACACATATATGATTTTAGAAATATTTGCAAATTTATTCAAAGTCAAAATCTCATTTACAGAAGTATTGAGACCCTTAAATCTGTACTGTGTCGGAGCCTCTTTGGCAGCGTTTATGGCATCAAGAGAGACAACGAGCTTTGCACACCTGGATTTGGGCAGTTTATCTCATCCTTCATGGCAGATCCTCAGATTGGATGGGAAACGTCTCTGTCCACAGATGCTTTAGAGGGTTTAAGTCTGGGATTCATCTGGGCTGCTCTAGGTCAGTCAAAGGCTTGTTCCGATTCCACTGCAGCATTGACTCGGCTGTATGCTTCAGGATTAAATGTTTGTCCCATAAAACCAAAGAGTAGTCTTTGTCATGCTCTCAAAGTCCAAGCTATCATATGTCTTTTATTTAAAGTGTCTGCCATTTAGTTGCTCGTTTCTAAAAGCCTGGTTGATGGAGAGTTACTGTACAGACATGATTGTCCATCCAGCAGGTTCTCCCATCTCTGCAGAGGACTTGTGAAGCTGCTTTGTTAGAATGACAGTTTTGGTCACCTCCCTGATTGAGGCCCGTCTTACCTGGTTACTCAGTTTGGCTTGAACGATGAACTCCAGGAAGTGTTCTGGTGATTCCAAACTTCTTCTGTTTCACAAATATTGAGTTCACTGTGCTCTTGGAAATGCTCAAAGCATTAAAATTGGTTTTATACTTTTAACCTGATCTGTGCCTCACAGTTTTATCATGGAGGTCTACATCTCCGATGTTCAATGGACTTCATGGCCTGCTTTTCATCCTGACATTCACTGTGAATTGGCCCTTATGTTCTAGACACATCCCAAGGAAAATTAAAGCAAACAGGATGCACCTGCCCCTATTCTGGAGTACCACAGGGTCACAACACTTTTGTAACTGAGAGACTTCGGTTAACACTTCTCCACTTTTACCGCTTAAAATAAACTCTACAACACAGTTCACAGTAGAGTGTGAAAAAAGCTGAGTGCAGTGTGACTGTTTGTCCCCCTCTTATCAGTTATTAACTGATTCTAATGCTGTTGTGGTCAGATTAATTAGTGAGAATACTGTCTTTTAGAAAAACAGATGGGAGTCTCTCAGCAGTTTATTTTAAGATAGATCAGTTTCTAGCTCAAGTTGCACAAGAAACTTTTCAAAGACTGACCATTATCAACCGTTATCAATCAAACAGGTAATTTATTTTAGTCATTAACATTAAAAATGATATACAATTTCTCAAAGGTCAGAGACAAAAGTTAATAACTAATTTATAATTTATAACCATGAATAACCAACTGTCACTACAAAATGTGAAAAAAGCTTGTCTGGCTATTGTGTGTGTGTGCATTTTTCTTCTTTTTCAATCCTTTGCCTTTAAAAAAGCAGCCATTACTTACTGAAAAGACAGAAATATGATCGACATAGAATCCCTCCTTCTCCATCACTTTGCTTACTCGGTAATATCACAGATGTCGACCACCTACCAGTTAAGTACAAAAACCCACTCCTCATTTCTCTAACTACTGCCAAGAAAACAATCTTTCAAAACTGAAAATAAAAAAAAATCACTATTATTGGTATTTTTTTATTTATTTATTAATTTATTTTCCCTCCTTCTCCCTTTCTTGCATTTCATAGACTGTTGGAAATACACACACTTCATACACTACACTCTATATCTTTTTGTAATGTCATGTATCTGTTGTCTTGCCTCCCATGTTTGGTACTGTTTTGTTAATATGTTACTTTGTTTCAATAATTACAAAAAAGAAAAATGATCAACATACAATAGGAGCATTTTAACATTCAAAAATGAAGAATAGTAGTGTTCAGGTATATTT